GGAGCAGTCCTGTGCTCTCAAGAAGAGGTGTCTGGGGTCCGTTAGCTCCAATTAAATCATTTTTTCTCAGTATATTTAAATTCCGCTTTGGCTGGTGGTCTTGGACCCAGGCGACACCCGCGTTGCGATGCTTTTCATCGTTCTGTGTTTGTGACTCAGCCGCATCGATTCCTGCCGATAAAAATAGAAAATTGGAGAACAAAAAAGAGCAAAGGATGAAAAATCAGCCGTGGGTTTTTTTGGGCTGAAATTCGGAATTCACGGGCGTTTCTTTTCCTTCCAGATCTTTCTTCTGATCGTAGCTTCGAAAATGAAGGTCAGAGGGTTCAGCTGGTGAAGAAGAACCGAAAACCTCGAAGGATCAACTCTTAATTTCAGGTAATTAATTAGTAAAAACATCTAAGGAACAACTCTTAATTTCAGGTATTTAATTTCACTCCTCTGCCCGTGAGCGCACAATTTACGGCGTGCGGCTTCTTTCCAGCATTTTGGGGCAATAAACGCTCTTTCTGGGGGTGTTTCCAGAGAGAAAAAATCTGGTTTATCAAGGGACCCAATTCCAGCAGGGAAAAGGGGCAGAAAGAGGTGACAAATGTGATGAGTTTCGGTGTTTTTATCCAGAATTTTCACTTCTGCGCCTGTTTTCTTTCTGGTAATTGGCCCTAAAAGGCTTGGTAATAAATAAATCACCCCAAATTCACAACTGTCATTTTTTACGGCTTCAGCTTTAAAATTTCTTGGTTGGTCTTGTGAAACCTGAATATTTTGACAAGATTTTTAGATTTATTGTATCTAATAATTTATTGTTTCCAATAATAACAATCTCCAAGGTGTGTCTGGTTACGGACGTAGCCGAGACGTGATGAGCAATCGGCTTTCTGAAGTCTTATCTATCTGTCTATAAGATGCTTAAATTTGGGGCAGATTAGTTGAAAAATGGGTTAAAAATGTCATATTTCAAATAGGGACGCTTTAATTCAACAACTCCTGAGTTGTGGGATCACCTGCACCCAGGTCCTGTTGTCTCCTCCGTCCATCTCTGTGCTCTGGGGGTGGATGGGATTTGAGTTTGAGGTAACAGTGTTGAAATAATGAATTTGGGGAAGGCTCCAGCGTATGTTGAGTGGGCTGCAGGGTGGGCAGTCTCCACCGTGGACCTCCAGGGCCATAGAGTGGACAAATGGCTTCAGTGTGATCCTCCATGGGCCGTATTTTGGACGATCTCCTCCACTGTGGATCTCCATGGGTTGCATGGTGGAGAAATGGCTCGACCGTGGACCTCTGTGGGCCAAATTTTGGAGAAATGGCTCGACTTTGGACCTCTGTGGCCATAGGGTGGACGTCTGCTTCACCGTGAACCTCCATGGGCCACAGGGTGGATGATCTCCTCCACTGTGGACCTCCATGGGCCAGAGGGTTGACAAATGGCTTCACCGTGAACCTCCATGGGCCACAGGGTGGATGATCTCCTCCACTGTGGACCTCCATGGGCCAGAGAGTTGGCAGATGGCTTCACTGTGGACCTCCATGGGCCAAATCTCCTCCACCATGGACCTACGTGGGTTGCATGGTGGACAGATGAATTCACCATCGACCTCCATAGGCCACGTGGTAGAGAAATGGCTCCACTGTGGACCTCCATGGCCACAGGGTGGTCAAATGGCTTCAGTGTCAACCTCCGTGGCCGCAGGGTGGAGAAATGGCTTCACTGTAGATTCCTGTGGGCCAAAGGGTCGATGATCTCCTCCACTGTGGACCTGCATGGGTTGCATGGGAGACAAATGGCTTCAGTCTGGACTTCCATGGGCCACAGGGTGGACAAATGGCTCCGTTGTGGACCTCCACGACCTCGACTTTGGACCTCTGTGGCCATAGGGTGGACGTCTGCTTCACCGTGAACCTCCATGGGCCACAGGGTGGATGATCTCCTCCACTGTGGACCTCCATGGGCCAGAGGGTTGACAAATGGCTTCACCGTGAACCTCCATGGGCCACAGGGTGGATGATCTCCTCCACTGTGGACCTCCATGGGCCAGAGAGTTGGCAGATGGCTTCACTGTGGACCTCCATGGGCCAAATCTCCTCCACCATGGACCTACGTGGGTTGCATGGGAGACAAATGGCTTCAGTCTGGACTTCCATGGGCCACAGGGTGGACAAATGGCTCCGTTGTGGACCTCCACGACCGTGGGGTGTTCATCTGCTCTACCACGGACCTCCATGGCTGTAGAGTGAACAAATGGCTTCACCATGGATCTCTGTGGGCTGAAGGGTCGACAGTCTCCTCCACTGTTGACCTCCATGGTTTCCATGGTGGACAGATGGCTCCTTCATGGACCAGAGGGTTGATGTGGCTTCACCATGGATGAATGGCTTCGCTGTGGATATCAGTAGGCCACAGGGTAGACATTGTTCCACCGTGGGTCTCCATGGGCTGTAGGGTGGACAAATGGCTTCACTGTGGACCTCCATGGGCTGTGGGGTGGACGATCTCCTCCACCATGGACCTCTGTAGACCACAGGATGGATAAGTGGCTTCACCGTGGACCTCCGTGGCCATAGAGTGGACAGATGGCTTCGCTGTGGATTTCCCTGGGTCACAGGGTGGATGATCTCCACTGTGGATCTCTGTGGCTGTAGGGTGGACGTCCGCTCCACCTTGGACCTCCATGGGTCACAGGGTGGACAGATGGCTTTGCCATGGATCTCTATGGGTTGCACAGTGGAGAAATGGTTTCAGTGTGGACCTCCATGGTCCGTGTTTTGGACGATCTCCTCCACTGTGGTCCCCTGTTGCTGTGGGGTGGAGAAATGGCTTCACTGTGGACCTCTATGGACCGTATTTTGGATGATCTCCATGGCCGTAGGGTGGACAAACAGCTTCAGCATGGACCTCCATGGGTCACAGGATGCTTGAGTGGCTCCACTGTGGACCTGCATGGCCGTGGGGTGCACAAACAGCTTCAGTGTGGACCTCCATGAGCCACAGGGTGGGCGATCTCCTCTGCTGTGGATCTCCGTGGCTGTGGGGTGGGCATCTGCTCCACCTTGGACCTCCGTGGGTCGCAGGGTGGACAGATGGCTTCACCGTGGACGACTGGCTTCAGCGTGAACCACCACGGGTTGCATGGTGGGGAAATGGCTTCACTGTGGACCTCCATGGGCCGTATTTTGGACGCTCTCTTCCAGCGTGGACCTCCACGTCCCTAGGGTGGACGTCTGCTTCACTGTGGAAACTTCACATGGGGACAGAAGGGGTCCCATTGAGTTGGGAACTAAAGCGTAGGCGCCATAAAGCTGATACAGTCTTCACCGACTGCTTTCTGTGGCTCAAAAACCACCTCAGAACCACGCGGTTGACCCAAACATGGGCGATTTGGACACATCGTTTACGTGATGGCGAAGGAACCCATCGCCCTTAAATGTTGACGGTAAAATCCTGCGTAAACCCCTAAAACTGCATAAAAAAACCCTAAAACCCTACATAAAACTCCTTTGGTGTCGCCTCTTTGGCTTTTGACGCCAAGATTTTGCCTCCAAACCATAGAAAAATGAGCCCAGAAGTCGCTTCTCCCCCCAGAAATGAAACATAAATGAAGATTATTTCCTTGCTGTCCTGGCTGCATAGGTGGCCTGAAAAAGGCCCGAGAATAAATACGATTTTTCTGGGTGGAAATGTGATGAGTTTTGGGATTTTCAGTGGAGCCGAGGCACAAAGGGTCACGAGAGAGCCCCAGTTTCTGCGGGAAATGGTTCAAAAATAAAGCAGAAATTAAAATACAACGAGCTTGGAGTGGTCTTTTTCCTCCCTTCCCGTTTCACCTTTTCCCCTTTCCCCTTTTCTCCCCATTGCCATGGGTAAAAGTGTCGTTTGTTAACGATGGCCTTGGGGTTTCTTCTACAGGTTAATTATTTTACTCCCATTAATTATTTATTGATTTATAGATAAAGGGTATGCTGTGCTCAGGTTATCTTCAACCTAAGAGAAGATCTTAATTAAGAAATTCAGAAGATGCGAATGTAGCGGCATTTATAACAGATTGTACCAGATTAATCTAAATTAGGTTAGATTAGAAGTCGTTAGGTTAGAAATCTAATCTGTACTTTTAGATTAAGAAAACCTGAGTGTAACACATCTTCATCAATAGATTAAGAAAACCCAAATCCATAAAATAAACTAAAATGCAGATTAGATTTCTAATCTCTAATACAGATAAGATCAAGGAAACAGGAGTGTAGCACCATTTATGGTATAATTGGCAACGTACATTAAATCCTAATCTGTAATTTAGATTAGACTAAGGAAGATCTACCATAGCACCATTTGGGGTGGTTCTTTCTAGATAATATTAATTATTTACTTCATCTATAGATGAAAAAACCTCTGCTGTAGCACAATCTTTAATAAAGATTATATTCCTAATCTATAAAACAGATTAAATTAAGGAAGCCTGACCATAACACCGTTTGTAATGCAGAGTAGGTTTCTGATCTAATACAGGTTGGATGTGTAATCTTACAGATTGCTAATCTGCGTTAAATATATAATGTGTAATCAATTTATAATCTATAATTCATAATTGATATTACTGATTAGATGAAGAATCGATGAATTAGATTCATTAGGTTAAGCAAACCCAACCCATTGTGGTGTTTTCTTTACCTGTAGATTAATTAAGTGCAGTTTTTTTCCTGAGATTTAAGAGCTCCAGAGCAGAAGGGGAAGAAATTAATTAAATTAATTTAAAATTGGAATTAAAAGCCTTTACTTTTATGTGCAAGGGGAAGAAATGAAACCAGTGATGCAATATTTCCTTTAACAAAATCATTCTTTGGGAGCGCCGCTGTCATGGGAGGGAGCAGAAGGAAATTGGGCACCGCAGGCCCTAAACGGCTGAATTTTGGGAGCAAATACGGAATTTTCTGGAGGTAGCCTTTATTTCTGATTAATTTTTTTAATTATTATTTTATATCTTTTCCCCATCAGATCCGGTATCTGGAGGCATTTGTGCCTGAAGCCACGGACGATAGATGGACAAGCCAAGCGACTTCTGACTCCGCATCATTTTCTGGAGCGAAACTCTATGGCAATGTATCCTACAAGGTAACACAGCCAAACCCAATTTATCGCTCTGATACGCCACCCCACCTCAAAATCCAACAATTTTGGGACGTCCAAATCTGCTCCGGTGATTTTGAGCCCTGAAAAATTCAAACACCAACATCTAAAGACCAAAATGTGGCAGTTCCCTGGCCCGTGACGGGGTCGGTGTTGGGTTTAGGCCAATACAAGCAGCAAACCACAGATTTTTTAAGCAGGGTTTTGAGACCCGGTGAGGTTTTATGGAGCCGGGATAACCCGGCTTAGATCATCTGCTTAAAGATTATCCATTTAAATGACCTACCCAGGTGATCTACCTAAAGATCATCTACCTAATTTGTCTCCCTAGATTATCTATGTAAACTAACTACCTAAAGTTATCTGCTTGAAGATTATCTGCTGATATTGTCTACCTAAAGATTATGTACCTAAAGATTACGTACTTAGATGATCTACCTAAATATTGTCTGCCTAAAATTGTCCACCTAAAGATTATCTACCTAAAGGTTGTCTACCTAAATTGTCTACTTAGATTACTTACCCAAATAAACTACCTGAATTACTTACCTGCCTAGATTATCTACCTAAGTATTGTCTGCCTAAATTTTCTACTCAGATTATCTACCTAAATTAACTGTCTAAAGTTACCTATCTAAAGATTATCCAGTTTAATTTTCTACCTAGATGATCTACCTAAAGATTACCTACCTAATTTTTCTACCTAGATTACCTACATGAATAAACTGCCTGAAGTTACCTGCCTAAAGATTATCTGCCAGTATTACCTACCTAAACATAACATACCTAAAGATCATCTACTTAGATTAACTACATAAAGTAACTATCTAAAGTACTTATCTGCCTAGATTATCTAAGATTATCTATCAAAAAATTGTCCACCTAAAGATTATCTGCCTAAACGATCTGCCTAAAGATTATCTACCTAAATTTCCTACATAGGTAATCAACGTAAATTAACTCTGTGAAGTACTTACCTGCAGTGTTCTCTACCTATAAATTACCTGCCTAGATGATGTACCTAAAGGTTATCGACCTAAATTTTCTACCTAATCTGCCAGAGTTCTCTACTTGAAGTACTTATCTGCCTAAATTATTTACCTGAATACTGTCTAAATTTTCAACTCAGGTTATCTACCTAAATTAACTCCCTAAAGTTATTATCTACCTAAAGATTATCTACTTTAATTTTCTACCTAGGTGATCTACCTAAAGATTATCTACCTAATTTTTCTACCTAGATTACCTACATGAATTAACTACCTAAAATTATCTGCCAAGATTATCTGCTTAGATTAACTACAGAAATTAACTACCTAAAGTAATCACCTGCCTAGATGATCTGCTTAAATTAACTACCTAAAGTTACTGTCTGCCTAGTGATTTATCTGCTTAGATTGTTGATTTAAAGATGACCTGCCTATAGATTATCTACCTAAAGAACATCTACCTAAATTTTCTACCTAGATTAATTGCATAAATTAAGTACCTAAAATAATCTACCTAGATGATCTCCCTAAATTTTATACATAGATTATCTACATATAATACCTACATAAAGTACTTACCTTCCAATATTATGTTCTGTATATTTTCCACCTAAATTTTCTACCTAGATTGTCTGCCTAAAGATTAGGCCTAGATGACCTACCTAAATATTTTCTACGTAATTTTTCTACCTAGATAATTTATCTAAATTAACTACCTCGAGTTACTGTCTACCTGTAGTTTATCTTCTTAAATTTTCTACCTTGATGGTTTACCTAAAGGTTATCTAAATATTGTCTACCTAGGTTAACTACATATATTAACTACCTAAAGTAGTTACCTGCCTAGATTATCTGCCTAAGTATTATCTACCTAAAAATTGTCTACCTAAAGGTTATCTGCCTAGATGATGTCCCTAAAGATTATCTACCTGATTTTTCGACCTAGATTACCTACATGAATTAACTACCTAAAGTTACCTGCCTCAAGATTATCTGCTTAGATTAACTACATAAATTAACTACCTAACATAATTAGCTGCCTAGGTGATCTGCCTAAATTAACTACCTAAAGTTATTATCTACCTATAAATAGTCTACCTAAGATTATCTGCCTAAAATTTGTACCTAGATGGTCTGCTTAAATATTATCTACTTATAGATTGTCTACCTAAATATTGTCTACCTAAATTTTCTACCAGATTAGCTACCTAAAGTTATTATTTTCTTAAAGTTTATCTGCCTGGATGGTCTACCTAAAGATTATCTACCTGAATTTTCTACCTAGATTATCGACATAAATTAACTACGTAAAGTACATGAATGCCTAAATTATCTACCTAAATGTTATCAACATAACGTAACATATCTACCTAGATTATCTAATTGAACTGCTTGAAGTTGTTATCAACCTAAAGGTTGTCTGCCTAAAGATTATGTCCCCAGATCTGGTGTGAATTAACGGAGGGTCTGTCCACCACGTGGTTCGACTGAGACATCCCATGGAAGCTCAACATTCACCTAAGAACCAGATTTTAGTATTAAATTGGGGTGAGCCACCCTGTGGTGGTGGGGTGGGAGCTACCAGGAAGCTGAAAGGAGACGTATCAAAGGTTGTGGTTGGACTCAATGACCTTGAAGGTCTTTTCCAACCAAATAATTCTTTGGAACGTGGCACCCTCCTTTGTCTGGAGCTGAAAGTTGGCCAACACCAACTCAGCGTCTCTTCGCGGCGTTGGCGAACCCAACTCTGGAGATGAACCCAATTCTTAAAGCGTTTGAGACAACGAAGGAACATTGGAGTCCTCCTTGCCTAGACCAGAGACAGATTGCCTCAGAAAGGTCTTTCTTGCGCCGGGATAGGGAATGCAAGCGTCATTTGTTGGGACGCACAGGTTTTTTAAGCAGTGAAAACATGGGGCTGAAGTGATTTTTTCTCCTTTCCCATCGTTCCCCAGGGTGTCCGGTGAGGAGTGCAATGGGATCAATAGCATGTCGGCGGAGAGCGGCCCTGGCACGAGACTGAGGAATTTGCCGGTGATGGGGGACGGACTCGAAAGCACCCAAATGTCTACAACGCAATCGCAGGCTCAACCCCAGCAAGGCAGCGTCGTAGGCGTCAATCCCCCTCCGCCGGAGACCTCCAACCCCAACAAACCCAAGCGGCAGACCAACCAGCTGCAGTATCTGCTCAAGGTGGTGCTGAAGACGCTCTGGAAGCACCAGTTTGCGTGGCCTTTCCAGCAGCCCGTGGACGCCGTCAAGCTGAACCTCCCCGTAAGTAGAGGTCCAGAGACCAAACCGTGGCCAACGGTTGGGCCTGGCCAGCCAACACTGGGCTCCTAGAGCCAATGGTTGGGCCTGAGAAGCCAGTGGTTGGGCCGGGCCAGCCAATGGTTGAGCTAGGAAGCGAAGGTGGGCCCCAAAAAGCCAATACTGGCCATGGTGAGCCAATGTTGAGCTCATGGAGTCAGCTTGGGATCATAGAGCCAATGGTTGGGCTCGGTGAGCCAACGGGTTGGGCCTGGCAAGCGAATGTTGGGATTGGCCCGCCAATGGCTGGGCCTGGCGGGAGCATGGGGAAAAAAAAAGTGCGCGGCGTGGGGGGACCAAGGGCGGGGTTTTGGGGAGCCAATGTTGAGCCTGGCAAGCCAACGGCTGGGCCCAGTGGGCTAACGTTGGGCTCATAGAGCCAATGATTGGCCTTGGCGAACAAATGTTAAGCTTGGCTAGTCAACAGTTGGCCTTGATGAGCCAACACTGGGCTCATGGAGCCAGTGCTTGGCCTTGGTGAGTGCGTGTTGGGCCCAGCCAGCCAATGCTTGCCCTTGGCAAGCCAACAATTGGGCCCAGCAAGCCAGGGATTGGTCTCATGGAGCCAATAGTTGGGCTCGACGAGCCAGCACTGGGCTCAGCCAGCCAGTGGTTGGGCTCAGAGAGTGAATTTTGGGCCTGGTGAGCCAATGGTTGGTCTTGGCAAGCAAATGTTGGTCTTGGTGAGCCAATGAGTTGGGCCCAGCAAGCCAGCGGTTGGTCTTGGTGAGCCAGGGAGCCAATGATTGGCCTCAGCAGGCAAATGTTGGGGTCGGCCAGCCAATGGTTGGGCTCATAGAGCCAACAATTGGGCTTGGCCAGCCAATGGTTGGGCTCGCCGAGTGAGTGTTTATACGTGACAAGCCAATGGTTGGCCTCGATGAACCAATGGGTAGACCCAGTGGGTTGGACTGGATGAACTCCAGAGGTCCCTTCTGTAGCAACGGCGTTTCCAGCCCTTTTTTTTTTTTAGTATTATTTTCCCTAGATGTTATACCTAAAATGCAATTTTAGGCTGATGGGGTTGAAATCCGGGGGGTGAGATGGAGGAATCCACGTGACGATATCTGAATTCTCCCTCTTTTTACAGGATTATTATAAAATAATTAAAACTCCGATGGATATGGGAACAATAAAGAAACGCTTGGAGAATAACTACTACTGGAACGCTCAAGAATGTATCCAGGATTTTAACACCATGTTTACAAACTGCTACATCTACAACAAGGTAGGAAAAGTTCCCAAAATCGGAGGGTTTTGCTGAGGGAAGAATCATCTGTGTCCTTATTTCTTGTTCCAGCGATCCCAAAAAGGATCCTGGGAGCAAAGCATTGAGCCTGAGGGCTTCTTATCAGCAGATACCTTCAGTTTAGACATATTTTCCTCTTCTTTTTCACTTAAAAGTGCATTTTTAAGATATTCTGACTCAAGCAAACCTGTTTGTTATCAACCAAGTCCTCGCCAAGTCGTATTTGCTCTCACTTGCTTCAAAAGGCCCCACTTGAGGCTGGTTTGAAACTTGAAAATCCCCTTCACCAAACCCTGTGAGTGGTGGTGGAGCTCGGAGAAGGTTCTGGAAGGTGGCACCAGGCTGTGCTGAGTCTTCTTAAGTACCAAGAGGATGGCAAATAACACAGGAAGGGTTTGGTGCCGTTCTGAAGACGTGGTCGAAGCCTCCACCTTCACTGAGCATTTTGGTTCCTCCTTGTTTCTCTCCATCCCCATTGCTTCGCCCTCGCGTGCTTGGACCTTTTTTCCCTCCATCCATCGATGTCTGATTGATCTCATGGTCAAAAACCCCCTGGAGTTCAGTGGGAGTCTCTCCAGCAGCACTTCGTGTCCATTGCCCCTCGTCTTTTCCATGTGTCCCCTTGGGAAAAGGGAGTCCAAAGCTTCTTGGTGCCACCCTTTATGTCCTGGTGCATGGTGATAAGGTCCCCACTAAGACTTCTTGTCCCGAGGCTGAACAGACCCTGTTTTCTCAGCTCTTCCAGTCCTCTGAGCATCCTCACCCCATTTCTCTGTACCCTTTCCAACCTGTCCACGTGTTTTTTGGATAGCAGGGACCAAAACACGAATAGAGAGGGATGACGACTTCTTGATCCCTGCTGGTGATGCCCTTTTGAATGTACCCAGCATCCCGCTGGCTTTCTTTAGAACCACAGCACGCTCGTGTTGAGCTCCTCATCCACCAAAGTCCCCTTTCCACAGGGCTGCTCTTGATATTATTAAATATGGTTATCAATATTGATAAATATCAATATTGGATCAGTATCGCCAGTTGGAGCCCAGTCTCGGCTGCGTTCTTGGCTGATCCATTCCCAGATGCAAGCCCTTACATTTGTCCATGTTGAACTTCATACAGTTCCTCATAGCCCCCTCGTCCAAACTGTCCCGTGGAGGGTGGCTCTCCCTTTTGGGGTGTCACCAACCCCCCCCCATCGTGGTTTAGGGCTGGGCTGGCCACTAAGTCCTGGCCAGACACTCGCTATGAACCCCTCTCCCCTCCCTAGAAGGGAAGAGCAAAGAGAATAAGGGAGAGAGACTTTATGGGTTGGAAAATAAACTAACAGGTTTAATGAGACAATGACACTAATACTACAGGATGATAATGTAAATAGGAAAATGATGAAATATACACAGATATGTACAAATATATCTATAAAACCAATATAAAATCCTCCCCCAGTGACAGTGACATCACCAGAGGCTCTGTGGAGCTGGGCACTGGGAAAGTCCCAGTCCAGACCCAGCAGCACTGGGAGCTGATGCAGGAACACAGGGATCAGATCAGAGGCAGATGAAGCAGCAGGGTCTGCTCAGACTTCGGTCATTGCAGGATCGAGATGGAAGGGTTGAAACCCTCATGATCCCTCAGCTTTATTTACACTATGACATATATGTGGGATGCAATACCTCACTGGTCAGTTTTGGGTCCGTTCCTCCCCATAGGTGCAGACATGGCCCCCATAGTGAGACAGTGGCCTTGCCATGTTTCCATCACATACAAGCGTTATCACTTGTAGAAGGGAACACTGGGAAAACAACGCTGTTAGTTTCAGAAGAGACTGAGCTGAAAAGTAAAATTACTCAATAGGAAATCAGTTCTGTTCAGCTCAGACCAGGACACCCCCTCATTTTGGTGTCATCAAGAAACTTCATCATGGAGCTCCTGACCCCAGCATCCAGATCATTAATGAAGGTATTAAATAGTTGTGACCGTCCTCGTGTCGATGGCCATGTGGTGTCACCACGCTGTTGGTTTATGGTCTCCACGTCCATCCAAACTCTTGTTCTGTTGCCACCTGCTCTTTCCCGGCTGCCCAATTTTATGGTGATCCACAGAACAACTCCAGAACGTCCTGACAAGCGGCGGATCCCATCCTCTCTCAGTTTCCTCCTTCCCGTTCTCAACCAGGAGGTTTCTCCTCCGGATCTGGCAGTGCCACTCGGTGCCGTCCTCTCCTTCCACACCCAATAAAGGATCCCAGCAGTCAAATTCCTCTTTAAAAACCTCGTTTTTGGGAAGGAAGTTGCTTTTTCGAGCCCTTTTTTCACCCAGTGCTCTACAGAGAGACATTTTCCACCACCCTGGGGACATCTCGCTTGGTGGAAACCATCCAGCATTCGCCCAGCTCCTTTTTCCTCTTTCTCCCTCTATTTTCCTTCCTCCCTTTGTAAAAGTAATTGGATTTCTTCTCCATGGCATCTCCTAGGTGACCTCTCCCTGCCCATAAAACACACCAGGATTTAGGCCACAGATTTGTTGCCTTTCTGTAACACTAAGGAGGGTGAAAATACAAAAATCATTCTCTGGAAATACACAGTTTGCCTAATTTGTCGTATTTTGGGTTTCCTCCAGCCAGGGGATGACATAGTCTTAATGGCAGAAGCTCTGGAAAAACTTTTCCTGCAGAAAATCTCGGAAATGACCCAGGAGGAAACGGAAATCGTCATCGCCCAGACGAAAGGAAGGGGCCGCGCCAGGAAGGAAGCAGGTACGGGCTGCCTAAATTGGGCTGGTTAATTGGGGGCGTTAATTAAACCCAAACATCCTCCCATGGGCACGGGGGGTGTCAGAAATGGGGTGGGAAGGAGAGCGGCAGCCCCGGGCTCTCAGTTGAGATCTCCCCCGTGAAAGACCCTGGCGAGGTCTTAAAAATCCCTCGTCCACGGTGTCTGGGCCTCGTTTTTGGGGAAAAAAAACATTGGAAAACGGTTCCCAGCACCACAACCACCACTGTTCTCCCTAAAGCTTCCTCTGATTGCAGTTTCCACACCTGGTTTATTAATTTTGGGGATGGATAACGATGTTTGAGCTCAGCACCCTTTGAAAGGACGCATCACCCTGAGCTCTGCCAGAATCCCACCCGAGCCCTTTTGGCTTTTTTTGCTGCCAAATTGATGAATTTGCCTTTTCTTGCCCATTTTTCAGGGCTGAAATATTACCCCCCACGCTTTAAGCTCTGCATTAAGTTGAACCGCAGCATTTTAAACCCTATTTAAGATCATAAATCAGTAAAATTAAATTCTCTATTTGTGCCTGTTGATATCTCAAGAGTGCACTAACGACACAGCTTCTTTGTTGGAGGTTTTGCTCCTGGATTGGTAATTTATAGACCTAAAAGTATCATCTTCCTCACTTAATCCAATCCTCTGGTGCGTAATATCCGAGGGTGGTTCAGCCATGGTCATGTCCCAAACTCGAGGTTGAATTCCCCCAATGGGGAAGGGGAGGGGAAGAGAGGAGGGCGCTGCCCTTGGCCTGGTCTTGACCACTTTTTGGAGGGGTTTTGGCACAGTTACATCCTGAGCTGCTTGTCCAAGGACGGGCAGTTAATGAATAACGACTGCTCTTTAAACAATGTTATCACAAAGCATTGATGGTTCTTTCCGTTAACATAATGAAGTTTGAAGGGAGTCGCAACCCTTCCTCTCTCCTCTCTCGCCAGTGACGTCCAAACCAGGCTCATCCACGGTACCCAACGCAACCCAAGCCTCCTCCCCGGCGCAGACGCCGGCACCGCCGCAGCCCCTGCAGTCGGCGCAGACGACTCATTCCTTCCCTCCCGTCACCCCCGACCTCATCGTCCAGACCCCGGTCATGACGATGGTTCCTCCTCAACCTCCCGCGCCGCCTCCGCCTGCTCCTCAGGCCCCCGCGCCGCCGGCCCCGGCTCCCCAGCCCATCCAACCGCACCCTCCCGTTATCCCAACGCCCGCCCAGCCCGTGAAGGTGAGTCATTCCCTCGGTATCTCCCCGTGCAACGGCCTTAATTATCCCCCGAAATCTTCGTACCCTCACCCTAAATTATCCTCATGGCGTGGTTGGTCAAGCTTTGCTGCCGGAGTCTCGTGTTAATGCGAACGGCGGGGAAAAAATTCATCGTTTGAGGAATTGGGAGCTTGCGGTCACCCTCTCTGACAGCACTTAAAGTTGGTTTTAATATGGAATTAATATGATTTAATTAATATGATTAATTTAGTATGGAATCGCCCATTCTTGCGTGGAAATCTCGTTTATCTCAGGATATAATGTAATGTATACACACATACACATATATAATATTACAATACGTGTAATATACATAGATATACATGTGATATACATAGATATACATGTGGTATACTTAGATATACTTAGATATACTTAGATATACTTAGATATACTTAGATATACTTAGATATACTTAGATATACTTAGATATACTTGTAATATGCATGTGGTATACATAGATATACTTTGATATACATAGATATACATGTAATATACATGTGATATACATAGATATACATAGATATACATAAAAATACTATCATACTGTATGTGTGTATATATAAAGTATTATGTGTGAGTATATATAAAAAACTGTGTATATAAAATTATACTCTGTATATATAAAAATATAATGCTGTGTGTGTATATAAAAATATATATTATAATACTGTGTATATATATAAAAATGTGTATATATATAAAAAATATAATTGAGTGTGTGTGTATATATATAAAAATACTGTGTGTATATACAAATACGATACTGTGTGTATATATTAATATAATGTATTGTAATATAATGATAGTATAATTATGATGCTATCTAATATTATATGTTATAATACTATATATATAATGTGTTATCATACTGTATCTACCAGAAATAATCCATTCATTTTGCTGTAGAGCTCACGTAAGTCAAAAATACCTGAATATTTCTCCAATGTCCTTCTCGTTATGCTCGGGTCACAAGCGATGGCCAACCCAAGACAAACCACCACTGGATCGAAGCCAGAGATGCTTAATCTCGCTTTATTTGCTGCTTTCTAGACAAAAAAAGGGGTGAAGAGGAAAGCAGACACCACGACGCCGACCACCATCGACCCAATTCACGACTCGTCATCGTTGCCCACCGAGCCCAAATCCACCAAACTGGGGCCGCGGCGGGAAAGCAGCCGCCCGGTGAAGCCTCCAAAGAAAGACGTCCCCGACTCGCAGCAGCACGCGGTGGAGAAGAGCAGCAAGATCTCGGAGCAGTTGAAATACTGCGGCGGGATCATCAAGGAGATGTTCGCCAAGAAGCACGCTGCCTACGCCTGGCCCTTCTACAAACCTGTGGACGTGGAGGCGCTGGGACTGCACGACTATTGCGATATCATCAAACACCCCATGGATCTGAGCACAATCAAAGTAAGCTCAGGGTTTACGGGGGGGTTGAGCAGGAAAAAATCCCATTGTTTCCTTCCCCTCACGGCCGTGGGTTTCTGGTACATTCGATCTCTTTTTTTTTTTTTTTGGCTGTTAGAGTGACATTTTGAGGAAAAACAAAAAAAGTTGGTGTCCCTCCAGTGAGGCTCTTGGGAAAGGATCACATTTTTAATAGGAAAATTGCATTATTGCATAAAACTCCACTTTTTTTTAGCCCAGGAGGTGGCCTCAGAGAGCAGAAATCACAGGAAAAAGGGGATTTGAGTTCAGCCAACCCCATTTTCAAGCCTATTTAAAATAAAGGCCCCTGTCTAAATTGCTCTTGTTAAGCACTGGTAGCTAAAATTCAAGTTTTAAATTGCTTTATTTTAATGACTGTAATGTTCCCCTTGAAACATTATTTCAGGATTTCAAAGTCAAAGAAAACTTTAATTTCCGATGTAGATTTAGTTTTACTTTCTAGTTACCAAGCATTAATTCATGATTTAGAAGTCAAACTTTAACTCCTGATTTAGGAGCTGTTAACTTTTTGGTTATCAAACTTCGATTTCTTCTTTTAGATGCCTTTAACTTTTTAGTTCTCAAGCGTTAATTACACATTTAGAAGTCATTAATGACTCCAAGCAAGGAACTCAGCTTAAGCTCAGCTCTTAACTCCTCTTCACCCACTTGGGCATTGGGCTTTGGGCCTTGGACGTTGGGTCCTTCATGTTGGGCCTTGGGCGTTGGGCCATGGGCATTGGGCATTGAGTCCTTCACATTGGGCGTTGGATGTTGGGTCTTGGACCTTGGGTCCTTCACGTTGGGTCCTCCACATTGGGCCTTGGGCCTTTGGCATTGGGTCCTTCATGTTAGGCCTTGGGAGTTGGGTCCTTCTCATTGGGTCCTTTACTTTGGGCCTTGGGCCTTTGGCGTTGGGTCCTTGGCATTGGGTCCTTCATGTTGGGTCCTTGGACGTTGGGCCTTTGGCGTTGGGTCCTTTGCATTAGGTCTTGGATGTTGGGTACTTCACGTTGGGCCTTGGGCGTAGGGTCCTTCACATTAGGTCTTGGATTGAGTCCTTCCTGTTGGGTCTTGGATGTTGGGTCCTTCATGTTGGGCATTGGACTTTGAGTCCTTGGATGTTGAGCCCTTGATGGGTCCTTCGCGTTAGGTCTTGGATGTTGGATCCTCCTCATTGGGTCTTGGATGTTGGATTCTTCACATTGGGTCTTGGACGTTGAGCCTTTGCTGTTGGGTTCTTTGTGTTGGGCCTTTGACATAGCATCCATTGTGTTGGGTCCTTCACATTGGGTGTTGGGTCTTTCATGTTGAGTCCTTCTCGTTGGGCCTTGGGTGTTGGGTCCTTCACATTGCATCTTTGACGTTGGGTCCTTCACGTTGCGTCTTTGATGTTGGTTGCTTCACGTTGGGCCTTGGACGTTCGGCCTTTGGCATTGGGTCCTTCATGTTGTGTCCTTGACATTGGGTCTCGCCCACCCATTGCTGCCCTCACATCTTGCTGCTCCAAATTTTGGGCTGGGCCGCGTGGCCGAGGTCACCCTTGGCAGACATTGAGTGTCCTCCTCACTCAGCTGTCCAGCTTGGCCCTGCTTTCCCAGAAGCTTTTCTTGGCCCAGCAGGATGCAGCACTCAGGGACATTCGGGGTCATCTCAAGGCTCTCTGCACTCGGATTGGTTCCTTTTGACCCAAGTTTAGTGGTTCCTTTTGACCGATGTTAGGTGTTGTTCTGACCAAAATTAGGTGTTTTTTAAATGAGAATTAGGCAGTTTTTTGACCCAAATTAGTCACTCTTTTGACCCAAATTATTTGCTCTTTTGACCCACATTAGTCATTCTTTTTGACCCAAATTTAGTGGTTCTTTTTGACCCGAATTGGTCATTTATTTTTGACCCAAATCAGTCATTCTTTTGACTAAAATTAGGCCTTGTTCTGGTTGAAATTAGGTGGTCTTTTGATGAAAATTGGTTGTTCTTTTGATTCGAATTAGGCTTTCTTTTGACCAAAACTAGACGTTCTTTGACCTAAACCAGTAGTTCTTTTTCACTCAGATTTATTGGTTCTTTTTGACCCAAATTGGTTGTTCTTTTGACCCAAATTAGCCTTTCTTTTGCCCCTAATCAGTTGTGCCTTTTGACCCAAACTAGACGTTCTTTTTGACCAGAATTGGTTGTTCCTTTTGACCAGAATCAGTCGTCATTTTGTTGCAGTCAAGAGAACATTTTGATTGATTCCAGTGGTTAAAGTAGGCATTTGGTTAAACTGCAGAGTTAAAAAGCCACAAGGCACATGTGTACAAGTACTTGGAGAACGTATGAACCATACACAGAAGAAGAGCTGTGACAAGGATTAGACAGTAACGTGAAGGATGATAGCAGTGATCAGACACCCCATGCAGCGCTCCAGGCTTGGGGACGA